GGAGGGGGGAGGGGGCGTGAGGAGCTGTTGTGCTTCTCTGAGCAACCAGTCTTATGATGAAGGTAAAGTCCATTTATTGGAGAATATAAAATGTAAAACTATGCCCAGAAATAGAGCAAGCAGATATTGGGGGTTGGATTTATTTTTTTTAACAAAGATCCCAATGATCTGTGTGGGATTGATTACAGTAAATAACCATACAAAATCCCCTTGCATGTGCAGTTTTAGACAGAGAATATAAGATCCAGCTTCTGTGGTGGAGTTTAAAGCCATCCAGTAAGTTACATTTCTTGCATACCTTTTTGATCCTATCAGTATATGTTACTTGCTTTATCAAATGACAAAAATTGAAGGCTCTCTCTGACCTGTTTACAGTGATGCCTCATTTAATATTTTGTATCTGGACAGAACCTGAATATGGTTTTACATGCTATCAAATAATGCAAAGTATATGCACATAATGATAGCAGTGAATACAGCTGAGATGCTTCTGGCAGACAGCATGTTAGAGCAGCACCCCTTCTAATTCTGTTGAGGGGCTGGAGAATGTATAAATAGAAAAGCTCAATGTAATATGGGGTAGGCAGCAATACTTATTCCTCAAATAGGTGATAGGATTTAGAAGCAAATATTCTGTCTTGGGATTTGAATTTTCAGTGTCTGGCACACAGATTTCAATACCTGTATGCAGAACATGAAAATCTGTGTGAATGAGTAGCTGAACTACTACTAAAGTCTTAGTAAGCAAAAATGTCCAGGTGAAACTGGTGTCAGGAATCATAAGTTTTAGTAAGAAATAATGTAATTTTAGAGATGGACCTTTGTTTATATAAAATCATGACAGGAGAGTTTACACTAGCTTATGACTGAATATCTAATATCTCAGTGGGATGAAAACTTGGGGAATTCATAAATGCTTTGGAAGGATTACTTCTTCCTTGCATATCCTGAAAGTATCAAGTAAATCCATATTTGATATAATAGTAGTGCTTTTGCAAATTAAAAAAAAAAAAAAAAAAGATAGGATAAACTTCAGAGTTGTATCCTTGTATCCAGCCAAAGACTCCACTCAAAAAAATTTAGTACTCAGTTAATAAATCAATTATTTATGTTTCTAAAAATTGAAACTTTCCTGCATTTTTCCTAGTATTTTACATTCTAATCTATTCTGCCTCACTGCAAACATACCATTTTGCCAGATTTACATAATTTCCCTTATAAACTCAAAGATGAAAATGTACAATGAAACAGTTGAGAATGAGTAAGTGTCCTGGGATTTTTAGAGCATTCTACATTATATCTAGAAAAGCAAGTAGCTACACTACCACTGTTCTTATACTATTTCAGGGTGTGATATGGAGCTATTAGAGCCATGATTCAGGCTTTCTCCTTCCCCCCCAAAGACTCCAAAAAGTTGATACAACAATCTGCTAGGGCATCTGATTGGACTACAGTGGGATTGCTTTTTACAGCACCTTAAAAATACTTTTTGCAGTATACATACAAAAAAATGTCAGTTGAAAGGACCTAAACTAGTAGAAGCTTTCCATCAGCTTGTAAATCTAAGAAATATAATTGAGAAAGTAGTTAAATAAGGGAAAGATCCAGCAAAGAGGAGTAAGGAGGGGAACAAGAGATTGTATTTGTATTTTAACTTTTGTCTGCTTTCTTTAAGCGGAGACTCAGCACGAACTTAGGAACCTGCTGAATTTAATGGCAAAATTCTTATTTTAGAGGACTAGAATCTCACTGACCATGTGAAGTTCTTCTCTCAGATATATTATTTGGAGTTTTGCATTTGAGTTGTGTGGAAGTATACTGAAGTCTTACCAGGCCTATATAAAAAGACAGAAGATATAGTTTATGAAGTTTAAAAAGGGTCAATTACAATTCTTCAGTCACTTGTGGATTTTCATTTGGAAAGATTTTTTTTTTTTTCCAGTTCACAGACACCAAATTAGAGAAAAATAGTCATCAGGTTGGTAGCAAATTTTAGTGTTTTACTTGCAAAGGATGGAAATTTGTATGTAATTCAACTTTTTTTAATGGCAGTTCTAAAAGATTGAATGTTTGGAAGTTTGAAAGCTGAATACATAACTTACCCTCTCTTGAATTGATTAGAAATGCAATCTTATTAACTAAAAATTCAATCTTTTGTTCCTCTGTTGAATGGGCTCCTTTAAAACATTCTTTGTAAGTCTCTTCCTGAAGTGGGATCTGGAATTCTTAGCCAGCATGAGATACTGGTGTGTGCTTGTACAGTGATGACTAGGTACCATCAATGCCCTCTACTCTTCTGCACCTTCATGGCCAAATTCTGCTTATATCTTGCATTGGTCACAATCTTTAGTGTCTTATGGGGCTGGGGCATAATTCCATGAGACTCACTGTCACTGCAGTATGTGCTGCTGCAGCAGGGACTCAAGAACAAGTTGTGTACTCTTCAGTTTGGTATTGCTGAGTGGTGATGTTTAGGACACTTCACCTGCTCCTTCCAGTTATCCACCAGACCTTGATTTCACATCTTTCAGGAACAATTAAACTTTCACAATCATCCTTTTGTGGCAGTGGTATATTGCCAAAATAACATTGCATAGGAACGGCGTGTTCTCAGCTGTTGAGAAATACCCAGGTACCTGAGTAATGGGTTCTGTGAACCAGTCAATCCAGTGATAAAACAAATTCTCAGCAGGTGCAGAAGACAAAATGTAGCGGTGTGGTGCACCTAATTGAAATAGCTTGCAGAATCAAAGTCTACGAATCATCTTTTGCTTCTCCCTTTAATAACAACTCACAAGTTCAGGAAAAATATCCGTATCCTAGTAGCAGGTAAAATTAAAATTAACTTTCTCTCCTGTCTCTGACCTACCTTATGAAAAAAAAAAAAAAAAAGAAAGAAAGAAAAAAACAAAACCCAGTTGTGCTGTGATCTTGCTCTATATCACCTTTCCTTTAGATGTTGGAAGTCAGAAATACCTGTCCATACATTTTTCATAGTCATTGTTTTGACAGTGCATTTTCATACATCCCTTCTGTTTCTGTAGGAAAGTATTGAAGTAAAATGTATTGGAAGTGAAATAGTCTTTCTTTCCTAGAGCCTCACAGCTAAGCTCCTTTCTAATTCTACAGTGTCTCAGCAGTAGCAGGAGGTTGGGAAACAGATCTGTGTGCTGGAAATCAGTGCTCCGCTATAGATCTGACTTTAGCAACTTAAATTGTCATTTTAAGTCTAAAATTGTGTCAAGGAAGTATAGAAATATTTACCAGGGGAAAAAAAGGGAGGTGGGGAAAAGGGTTGGTGTTGCTTGCAAATACATCTACTGCTGGAGTTGAGAAGTTTGTCCATTTTTGCTGCTAAAGAGGCAATGATCATACAGGCGGTTCCCCTGGGAGAGGTGCAGAAGGACGGTGGGGATGACAGCAGGAGGGTGCAAAGATGAACTGCTTCGTGTCCAGTATAATGTTAGGACCTCATTTATTCATGGAAATGCAGAGTGGCTGCAAAACAAGGGTGGAGTGACTGCGTTACATACAGGCAGATGCCTTGCAGTCGCAATTTCATTTTTATATCCTAAACAAGGGAAACATGAACATGTACATAGATTAATCAGCATGAGGGACTGTGTTACCAAGAGTCAGAATCGTCCTGTGTCTGCAAGTGGTGAGCTCCTCCTTCCTGGTTGGGAGCTAAAAGACATTAGCTGAGAAACAATAATCTGAAGACAATAGTTCCATTAAAATGGAACAAGTGTGCCTAACCCTTCTGATGTCATTTGATTTCAGTCATAAAAGAGGAAACTAACCAGAGTGAAATGGCTGAAGACCTGTGCAAGATAGGGTCAGAAAGATCCCTCGTGCTGGATAGACTAGCAAGTAACGTCGCCAAACGTAAGAGCTCTATGCCTCAGAAATTTGTTGGTAAGAGTTAAACGCTTGCTGTCTCCTAAAAAATAAAACAAAACAAAACCCAAAAAACATCTCACAGGATTTTTAATTTTGCTTTATGATTTTACTTGTTTTACTAAATTCGCAATATCTATCTCTATAGAAGCAGATACAGTGATAAGTTGGGAGAAAACAAACAAACAAACAAACAAACTTCTCCAGCATACATTTCTGCATGTTTAATTTTCCACATCTGGAGGTTGATTTCAAGTCTTTTTCATGTCTTTTTCTAATGCTTGTGAACCAGATCATTACAAGATCTGGACCGGCTTTTAAAGTTGCCTTAAGAACCTGAAGATAGGAATAGAAGTTTCCTATTGGAAAAGCTTTTGACTATGCTTTCAAGGTTATTTTATTAACTTCTTGGATGACATCCAGATCTGAACAAACTGGTGTTTGTAAAAGCATTTGTGAATAGTTTAGCATTGGCTGGATAATATTCTTCACCCCATCATAAAGTCTGTATACTTTTACAGTTCAGAGCAATCATGGAAATAAATAAATGTGTCTGAGAATAATACCTAAATGAAAAGATCTTTAGGTACGTTTTATAAATGATGCAAAAAACTTCATGCCCATTTGCACCTAGCAGTTTTTGTCTTAACAATGAAAAAGTCAAGGCTACACTTATAGAAATGGAGGCCTCACCTATATTGTTCTGATTACTAAGCCTGTACCAAGTAGTGGTTACATCAGTTTTGTAATAGTGAGACCCACAGTCAATATTTTGTCAGCTATGTAGAGTTAGTCTTAAATTAATAAAAACATGAGAGATCAGAGGACAGCATATATTCATATCTAGTTAGATTATTATATAATTCTCTGCACATTCATTTATATTATTCTGTAAGAGACAATTAGAGAAAACTGAAGTCTTTGAAACAAAGCACATATTAGGAATGTCTCCAGTCAAAAGTCAAGGCAAAAAAAAGAGCAGTTTATGGAAAAGAAAATCCAAATATGCTTTCTTCAATGAGGATACAAGGGTGAAAGAAAAATTCGTGTTTCTGAGACAAGGAAAGGGGAATCTCAGCTAAGTCAGGAGGTGCAACAAAATGTTTGTATTAAAGTCCAAGATTTTTTTTAAGTCCAAAGGCAACAATTCCAGGAGGTAGTCAAGGATAATAAATGCTTATGCTTATAAAAGGATAAAAGTTGTAGTACAGGTAGTTACCAAAAATATATTAAAGTGTTTAGACATTTCAGTAACTGATTGCATTAGGCAAAATACTAATTTCGTGAAAGCTCCAGGAAGACCAGAAGTGTTAAAATTTAAAAGGTACAGGCAAGTATTCTATATGTGATGTATCCGTGTGTGTGGACTAGCTTTTTCGTTCTCCTTTTCTCTCTTTACCCTGAGAAACAGTAAAGACAGCCCGTTTAACTATGAGTTTTAGGAGGGCAGAGTTTCCTGTCAGTTAGTTATTCAGGGTGCGGTGTAGGAAGACAACCTACTGACAGCAGATATTTATGGAAATTTGTTAACCTTCAAAAGGATGAACTTTTCTGACAAGAAAATGCCCTCAAATCCCTTCCAATCCTCACCTGCTGCATCATGTAACAGGTACATTCCTGATTAACACAAGGTTGGGCTGGCTGGTCAGGAGAGCTTTTGGGTAATAAAACATGTTTATTGCTCCTGTAGATTACCGTGTAGTCCCAATCCCCATGCTGAATTCCAGGGAGAAGGAGCAAGTGTCATCCTTCACCTAAGGGAAAGACTGCCTGCTGCTTCACTTGTTTTTCTCAAGGCTAAATTCATTACCTTTCAAATGTGAGACTGTTCACCAAAGTAAGCCAGTTTTCTGTAAAATTATCTTTGTATTCCAAAGCAGAATAGCTCCCAGATGTGAAAGCAGAACTGGGCCATCCAAACTAAAGAGTGAGAACTGCAGGGGAGGTGGACACAGGTTTATCATGTTAAAACAATAGGCAGCAAAGAAAAGAGAGGAATTTAAAAAAAAAAAAAAAAAGAGAGAGAGAGAATGAAAGAAAAAAGTGCCTAGATGCACTGAATGCATTTTTACTACTTAGGTATCTGCTGCAGAGCCCTGAGAAGTGCAAAGCTTGAAGTGCATCAAACCATTAGCAGTTTAATTTACTTATGCTCTAATAACCACAGAAATGAGCTATTATTTTTAATGAGTATTACCTGCATTGCCCAGATATAGAAATGATACCTGCCTACCTCAAGTTTTTGTCTGTTTCAGACACTCTGCTTGGAAACAAATTTTTCTTATGAGCACTTGATCCTCTCAGCCAACTACCAACTAGTTATGGTACATAAAGCAAATACTACCCAAGAAACAGTTATTAAAATCAAGCCTTATGGATGCCTAAAATTTTGAGTATGATGAAGACCAGTCCTACTTTTCAGTGGTATACAGTACCCGTGGAATATAAACAATTTTGGCTTTTGTTTTTTTCCTCCTTGAGTCAAGGGTATACATTCATATTAGGAAAGTTTGACTATATTTAATTCAGGAGTCTTTCACAACACCTATTTTGGATTTTAAGTGTTAAACTCTTCCTGAAAACTATAGCATTAGCAAGGGTAAATCTGGAAGAAAAAAGACTGCACCCCAGTAGAGAGGTGCTCAAATTGGCGGAATAATGGGGAAAGGAAACAAGAGGAAGTAGAAGCTTGTGCAGCGCAGCTGAAAGGTATCTGTACCCTACATCCCTTATAGGAACTTACACAATGCTTAAAGTGTTTCTTTCTCTGCTTGCAGAGCGTGGACAAACTAGTATGAAACCATATCTTGTGGGAAATGTAGACAGCAGGACTTTCTACATTTTAGCCTCGTCACTGCAATAGTGTCATGCTAGAAGTTTTCTGGGCTTTTCACTGACTTTGAATAGTCAATTTGAGTAGAAACTGGTTGGGAAATTGTTGATCAATTAATTTGAAGATCTTCTGGTAAATTTCCCATACTCCTGTTAGCATTTCTTTTAGACTAATTAGGACTTTCCAAGGCTTACCAGCAAATGCCATGTTGATTAGAAAATGATGACAGCACTTCATAGAGATGCTTGTGGCTTTCAATAAATTTCCCAAGATCTGCAGAGCTAGAAGATCCATCTGGACTGTAAAAAATGAATTATTGGTAGTTCCTGGGAACCTGTGGGAAATTTTCACCCCTTTGCATTTGCACGAGTTTATTAGGGGCTTGATAATAATGTTGATAGTTTACACTGTTTGAGAAAACTGTTCAGGTGTATTTAAATAGTTTCTCCCATGCCTAACTTTTGTCTTCTATGTTTTGCTTAGTCCTATCTATCCAGGAATTTTGAGAAAGTTTGATTTTAAAAAAATAGGGCTTGATAATAATGTTGATAGTTTACACTGAGAAAACTGTTCAGGTTCAGTGTCTGTGTATTTAAATAGTTTCTCCCATGCATAACTTTTATCTTCTATGTTTTGCTTCGTCCTGTCTGTTCAGGAATTTTGAGAAAGTTTGATTTAAAAAAAATTAGGAGTCCTCCCTTACTTTTGGTATCCTAAATCAGAGTCATTACAACGAGTAATCTTGCTCTATATAGGGCTTTTTACCTCGTAGGAAAAATATATTCCAACTACAAATGCAGTTAAAATTTTTCCATGGTTCTTGGCTGCTCCTGTAGATGATAACCTTTTGACACAAAATTTCTAGGAACATGAGTAGCTTCTGGTAACATATCTAACATGGCTTATTTAAAAAACAAGGTGTGAGGTGGCAATATGAAAAGTTAAGTTTTTGTTGATTTTTCTACAAAATGACATATAAGCATATTGTTGATGTGGGTTACTTGTAAGAAACTGAAGGTCTGAAACTAAAACATACCCTTTCCAGTCTAAAATTGTAGAGTTTTAGGGAAAAATACTGATAATGTGCTTCATACTGTAAAGCATGAAAGCCAGAATCACTGTAACTGTGCTGGTACTCTGTCCTCACTAGCCAGAAAGGCATGCCTCAGCTCACTGTAGGAGGCAGATGAGGGAGTCCAGTTAGAAAGGAGAAAGAGAAGATGAAGCACTCAAATCTGTAGCTCCCACGAGTCCCTATATAATTATTTCCAGAATCTGTTTTCATCCATTTGCTTTTCCAAAGACCTCAAATTATTTTGCAGGTTAAAAAAAAACTACCAACCAACCATTTTTCTGACCAGCCCTATCAGAGAAGTATGAATACCTCGTGTGAATTTCAGAGGTGGATTTGGTCAACTCTTTTCTTCCATGTTGCCGTTTTATTAATCCATGATGTTCAGCTCCTTCATTATGTAGAAATCAGCCCTCTAACTCCTGACTGTTTTTCACTGCAGGTGAGAAATGTCTGCCTGATCTTCCATATGATGCAACCACCAACTATGAGAAGGAGAATGAGATAATGCAGACGCACGTTATAGACCAGGCCATTAATAACGCCATCAGTTACCTGGGAGCAGAGTCCTTGCGTCCCCTTGTCCAGACACCACCAGGTGGTTCTGAGGTGGTGCCTGTCATCAGCCCCATGTATCAGCTCCACAAACCTCTCGGGGACAATCAGGCTCGCTCCAACCATACAGCTCAGGACAGCGCAGTGGAGAACTTGTTGCTGCTTTCCAAAGCCAAATCTGTCTCCTCTGAACGAGATGCCTCTCCCAGCAACAGCTGCCAAGACTCAACAGATACAGAGAGCAATAACGAGGAACGCAGTGGTTTAATTTACCTGACAAACCACATAGGTCCCCATGCAAGAAATGGCATCTCTATAAAAGAAGAAAACAGGCAATACGATGTCTTGAGGGCAGGTACTGACAATTCCCAGGATGCTTTCAAAGTGATCAGCAGCAATGGGGAGCAAGTGAAAGTTTACAAGTGCGAACACTGTCGAGTCCTTTTCTTGGATCATGTGATGTATACAATCCATATGGGCTGCCACGGGTTCCGCGATCCTTTTGAATGCAACATGTGTGGCTACCATAGCCAGGACAGGTACGAATTCTCTTCCCACATAACTCGAGGGGAGCACCGTTTCCACATGAGTTAAAACTGCTCCGGCACAGATCCAGCCTCAACAGCTGTTACTGGAGCTGTGCGAGCCACGACAGCAACAAAGCACAAGTCAGCTGGACAGTAAAAGTAACAAAAGAATCAAAAGTTCAGCTATCTTCTCCCACAAGAAGAGATTTTTCCTTTTGGCAGCATGCATTGCAACTCAGTTTTGTAAAATGAGTACTAAAGTTTTTACTGAAAATGTTTGATCACCAAAAAGCTTTAGTAAAGTAAGTAGGAGCTTTTGTAGTCACGTAGTGAAAGCCCTTCCCTTAACTGATGCTTCTTGCAAACCTCCCTTGCCAGAACTGTTAACCATGCACAGGATGCACCACGCAGATGAGGATGCAACAGACAGGAGTGGCCAAGCCTTCTCTCTAAACACGCTGAGCATAGGGCTCTTACACCAGACGTATGTGTTTTGACTTCCTGGTATTATTTGACTCTTCTGGGAAGATTAAACTCAACTAAAGATGGAGGGGCCCATCTCGGATGACTTCACAGATGGTTGGGGTGGGACAGCACCATGAGCCAGAGGGTTCTGAGTTGCTTTGGCAGTAAAAAGTAGAGTGTTTCCACCTGCAAGGGTGCTGCTGATATTGACACCACGGTATGCCTTGTTTGTGTCACTAGGCAGGCGAGCAGGTATGTGAAAGATTGGAGAAACGCCCTTGTAATATACTCTATGAAGTATGAATTGCATTTAATGTATAGAAAAAGGGTATTGTTGGTTCTTCTTTGAATAAATGTTTTCTGTCCCTATCTAATAAAACCCCACTTTTCATTAAGCAACCCTTCCTCTCTCTGCATAAAAAAAAAATACAATGTATTTAATTTTTCTTTCTTTCTTTTTAAAGTTTTAGTTATTTAGAAAAGTATGATGTGCAGTTGAGAAAAGTACTAACTAGAAATTTCTGTGGGGAAAGTCTCCTTATGCACATTTTCCATATTTTTAAACTGCCTGGAAAATATCCAGGTGTTCCTCTCTTACATACGTAAAAAGAATCCCATTTTGCTTGCACAGAAGATGTCCTCTTCTAGATTTTGCCGCTCTACTCCTAAGCGTTGCCCTTAATTATTTTTAAAGCACTGAGCTGAATTAAACCAGCCAGTCGAAATTTGTAACTGTCTCCTTTTTTCCTGGCACTTGCTGTTTAATGAGGGACCAAGCCTCGCAAAGGTGTTGAGAACCCTGGCTTTCTATTCGACAAATCATTTCACCGTGTGCTTTAACTTACTTTTACTTCAGGGAAACTAATCTTAAAGTTAAAAAAAAAAAAAAAAAAGGTGTTTTCCTGAATAGAGACCAGAGGCTGGAGCACTTTGCAGAGTGCGCTGAAGTCTCACGAGCTTTCTCCGTTGCAGATTCTGCTGCAGATACTGTAACTTCAGTTAGAATAAAAACTTCTGTGATGAAACCCAAACACAGCTGATATAAAAATTACTTTTTTTAAAGCTTCTACTTAACTTCCTCTTCCAAATAGTTCATTCCTCTCCCTGAACACCCTCATACTTCAAGATTGGGCAAAAAAGAAATTTTTGCACCTGCATAAAAAATCTGTCATCAGGGCTGCAATACTTCCTAGGCAACATTTGGAAAAAAAATAACCCATCTTATTAATCTAATGTGTAAATACTTCCACTCTGCATAATAAATGGATACTCTGCAATAATCACAGTCATGTAACCAACAAGACTAGCATTCTTCTCATACAGTTACACGTTCTCCATTCGCAAGTGCATGCAAGCACATGTATTTATTATAAAAGAGATTCGATGGAACCCTGAACGCTTGTACTTAGGCCAATTTGGCCCGATATGTGTAGCTATATTTGATATACATTTCCTATATACACACATGATTACAGGCACGCAGCGTTCCTTCTTCTGCTTTCACTTTTGCAGGTGTAAGTCAGGAGCAACAACACTGAAGTTAGAGGAAAGATACTGATGAAATAATAAATTACAAATATATGTTTTTACAATCTCATGCCTTAGCTTTTCATGCCACCTGTAAGACACTTACTTCATCCGACACGTGTGCACAGTGGTGTTTTTACACGGAAAGTGCACGTGTGCATGGCTGTTCAGTAGCTTTGTCACCAGATGTGAATGCTGTGTATGAATGTCCATAGACTGAGCATATACCCACAACAGTGAAAACAAATTACTAGTACATGTTAGGCAAGCTAGTACATACAGGATGGCCAAAGACCGCCCCAAAAATGAGTAGTGTAAACTACATGCCCAAAGGTGCATCCAGAGAAGGGCAATGAAGCTGGTGAAGGGTCTAGAGAACAAGACTTACGAGAAGCAGCCAAGGGAGCTGGAGTTGTTTAGTCTGGAGAAGAGGAAGCTGAGGGGAGACCTTCTCGCTTGCTACAACTACCTGAAAGGAGGGTGTAACAAAGTGGGGGGTCAGTCTCTTCTCGCACGTAACAAGCAATAGCAGAACAAGAAATGGCCTCAAGTTGTGCCAGGGGAGGTTTGGGTTGGATATCAAGAAAAAATTACTCACTTAAAGAGTTGGCAAGCATTGAAACAGGCTGCCCAGAGAAGTGGTGGAGCCACCGTCCTTGGAGATAATGTGGATGTGGTGCTTAGGGACATGGCTTAGCGGTGGACTTGGCAGGGTTAGGTTAATGGTTGGACTTGATGATCTTAAAGGTCATTTGCAACCTAAATGATTATATGGTTCTATGATTCTATGATTTTGTATAGAAATGACCTGAAGAGGACCTTCAAGGGGAGGAGCTGATAAGGTTTTTTTTTTGGTTGTTGTTTTTTTTTTTTTTAAATGGGTTTATTTTTTTCATAGCTCGTAGGGATACATTCATCTGTTCTTATCCCCTCCACTTTTGATTGCTATCAACCAAGAAGGGACAAAGTAATTTCCCAGCCTCGTTGCAGTGTCCTGTGTGAAGTCAGCTGTTGGCTGTACGGAAATAATCTGCTTTTATTGCTCTTACATCTCTCTCCTACCACTCTTAGATTTAGGCCACTATATACCCCACGCCATATTTTTTTTTAACCTTTCATTTTAAGACACCCCAAGCTAGAAAGGGGAGAGGAACAGAAGCTTGCTCAGGTAGTTTTGTTTCTTTGCTTTAACTAAAATCCCACACAACTAAAGCCACGTTCATTTACTGTGTACACAAGCATAGCTCCAGTGGAGTTGAAAAGACTGCCTTGAACTTAGTTTTTCAGTGTGATTTCTGATTACTGGGTAGGTTCACTGCCTTTGCAACATCTCTGAGCACATGTGCACGTGCATGTGAGTTTCTGTGTCACTTTTCTTGTCGACATGCACGTGTGCCCTATCTGTGGTTTTGTGTTTCATTAATATTTTATATACATATATATGTGTATATATCTAAAATTGTTCATATGACATGATGATGCACTGTCAGTTACAGTGGGTTTGTTTCCTGGGGCTGGAGTTTTCTTATTTATACTATAACAGAGTCTGTTGTTGTTGTATATTGAACAGTACAGTAGTATAAGTATATTGAGACACGGTGTACTAGAGGGCATAGTCTAAAGGCAGGAGCAAACAGCATTCCTTGTTCACGAGGGGGCTTTTTTAGGTTTGCTTTTTTCTTTTTTTGCACAAACTCATCTTCAATTTGTTTAGAAACAAATGTTTCAATAATTTTATTTATGAACATATGCAAGGATGGCATGAAAATAGGATGTTGTGTGTGTACATCAAAACAAACTGTGCCCTCAGAAAACTAGTTTAGTGTAATCTCCCTTTTTCTCTTTTTGGTTTAGCTGAACCCTAAAACGAGTAAATATGGTGAATGGCTTTATGTTTATATCTGTTTTTAAAAAAGTAAAAATTAACCGCTTCCCAGCACTTCTCCAGACACTGCCTTTTCTAATAGAAAAGTTGTATTTACACACTTTTTTTTTGCCATGATTTTATATTGTAATTTCATTTTTCTTTGAGAACATTGTATTTAAAAAAAAAAAAAAAGGGAATTTCATAAAAATTGAAAATGTTATTAAATTACGTCTGCAAAGTGAGATGTATCTTTTAAGAGAACAGAACATGGTAAAAAAAACCCAAACCCAGAACGTTTCTGTCACTCTCCAAGTGGGTGAAGTTGTTCAGTACAGCTGGAGGCTGTGGGGTGGGGACTGTGTGCGTGGGCAGTGTACGGTGAGATGCAGGTAGAGAGCTCCGTGGGCAAGAGAGTGTTCAACATGGTGCACGGCCTCAGCCTCTGCTGCCCCACCTGTAGCCCACATCGTGGTGAGGTCATCCTTGCTGTCCTCGCAACTCACCTTCTGTGGCCAAAAAATGTCACGCAGTGTCAGTCACGCTGTGCTCACCAGATACATGGAGCAGCCTTGCTAAGCTGGCTCCAGCTGAAGATCAAGCCCTGCTACCTGCTACCCAGTGTCCTTGGCCACAAAACTCGCACAGCCCCTTTGAGCAGCTGATGATGAGAAGGTTGCTTCCTTCCCAGCCCTCTCCTCTTACCCTTCCCTCCCACCAGCCAGCCGAAGTCATTACAGAACAGAATTACTTCTGCATGTAGAGTCATGGTAATTCGAAATAAAGCACTGAGAAATTATTTCTACTATTCACCATAACAAAGGTGATTTCTCGGCAGGTGTCTCCATTTCCTTCAGATTCCAGCACAGTAAATTTCACATCACATATTTAATGCAAACAAGAATCACCGTTTTGCTTAGAAAAAAGCACCATTTATAAAGTTTTAGAAATATTTCCATTTGTAAAACTCTATTATTATGAACAACATGAGATTAGAAAAACCCCAAACTCTAATGGCATTGCAATCAATTCTTTTATAGGTTCCCAAAAATCTAGATTTTCCTCAAGTTACTGTGATATGGTTTCATCGTAAACTATAACTACTTTCCTATAAGAAGGAACCTTTTAACATCCTAATTCTTTTGTTCACCAACATAGCTAGTTCTCAGAAAACGAAATTAACTACAAATTTCTGTTTCAGCAAGTGACTCTTCTGCGAAGTAATAATGGTCTATTAAATAATAATAATATTAATATTAATAATAATTACAAAAATAGACTAAATGAAATATTCTCAATCAATGTTATTAAATCCTTGAACTAAAGTAGAGACATCCACAGATTTAAATCTAAGAATCTATTCTGGGGATCTATCAATTACATTTCAAAGACTTTCTTAAAGTCATCATATTTATATTTTTTTCATACTCCAATAGCTTGATTAAATAACATAGGAAACTTTTGTAGTTGCCAAGGTGCAAACTGTTATACAGACACAAACATACATCTACGAGGGGTGAGTATTTTCAGCCTTGAGTCCCCAGACAGGCTTCCCAACTCATATATAAGCATCTAAACACCAAAACAGTATTAAGATGTGCTCAGCAGTCAACTTTTTCTAGTCAGTCTTTGAAATCAAGAAATACACTAAAACACACAAGATTCTTTTGGTAGATAACAAAATGAGAACTGGGAGCCAGACCTGGAGCATGCAGATCTGATAATGCAACAATTTCC